TTCATGTGATTAATAAATATGCAAGCCCTGCTATGTTCTGGGCACTGTTCTAGGTGCTGGGAGTTCAGCAGGGCAAAGTTGCTGCCCTCATGGAGCTAACAGTCTAGTGAGGGAGAGACAGAATAAACAAACATATAAGTACTATACCACCGTCACAGTATACAGAAAATGAACATTCTCGCAACTGGACCAGTAAACAGCATCAGGATAAATGGCAAAGAAATTGAAGTTGTCAAAGATTTCATTTTACTTGGATCCACAATCAACACCCACAGAAGCTGCAGTTAGGAAATCAAATGACATACGGCACAGGGAAAATCTACTGCAAAACACCTCTTTCAAGTGTTGAAAAGCAAAGATGTCACTTTGATGACTAAAGGTGCACCTGACCAAGCCATGATCTTTTTAATCACCTCATAAGCATGTGAAAGCTGGACAAGGAAAAAGGAAGACAGAAGAACTGACACATTTGAACTGTGCCTCTGGGTGAACTCAAACCTCCAACCTTTCGGTTAACAGCTGAGTGAGTTAACCGTTTGCACCGCGCATGGTTAGTAGCCACTCAAGGACATATCCACAAAGCCCCATGATATCTACTGGGGTTACAGCAATGACAGAACCCAGCCAAGCCCTTGCTTGCATCCATCGGGAAGCCAGGAAACAAATCCATCGTGTCTGCTGGGAGGAAAGATAGAGGAAGATGAGGCGTTCCAGAGGGACCCACAGCGCTTTCGGTGCTGGTAAATGAAGGGAATCTTGAATGATTCTTTTCAAGGACCTACGAAGAAGATTCCAGCTGGGAGATTCTAGACGGACTTTTAGAATCCTTTCCAGCTAGATGACACCTCACTCCCTTGTGGCCGGAGACCCTTTGCCAGAAGCAGCAAGGACATTGGACCAGCAGGTCTGAGTGCCCAGCCCTCTGGGCTCCACCTCCCTGCGTGACCCTGGGACTCTCACACTCTCTCTGGGCCTCCGTTTCCTCCTTGGCCCCCCGGGATGTGTGCCAATGGCTGTCTCCTCACCCTACCAGCTCTCTGATTCCAAGCGTGGGACGTCCAGGCCCCCAGTGCAGTGACCATGTCAGCCCTGAGCCGGGCAGCAGTTCCCGCTGAAAGGCGGCCAACAGTGCCTCCTCGTAAAGTGGGGTCCACAGGGAAGGGGGGCCCTCTCTTTTATGAAGACTTGTTTATTAGCTGAGATGTGGTTCTTTCCTGTGCCCAGACCGCTGGTGGCTCAGCCCTGATGATCGGGTTAGCGGCGCCTGAGTGTCCGGGAAGAAATATCCTCAAGCCACCCAGCACACGGTGGGGGCAGCGGGGGGACAGGGACCGGCTACATAATTTGTGGGGCCCACTGTAAAATGAAAATGCAGGGCCCTTGTTCTAAAGGCAGGGGAAATGGTGTTGTTCGGTGCCGTTGATATCGTCCTAGGGGCTCCATGTAACAGACTGGAACTGCCCCAAAGGATTTTCTAGGCTGTGGTCTTTACGGGAGCATATCACCAGATCTTTCTGCCGTGGGCTTGTTGGGTGGGTTTGAACCACCAACCTTTCATTTAGCAGCTGAACACTTAACCATTGCACCATCAGGTTACTCAGATATAAAGCTTTTTCCTTTCTTCTCTGGGCCTGTCATGGGTTTTTTTGTTTGAATTTAATGTGCTCTCTGTGGGCATGGGGGTAGTGGAGGGCAAGAGTAGAGCCTCACAGGCACTGAGATCCCTAGCCTGTGACTTGCCATGTGGGGGCCCAGTCCACCGGCTGGCCCCCCACCAGCTGCCAGGCCAATATGCTGTGCCGGACCAAGGGAAGGGAAGCCGGGTGTCTCCTCCTCTTGCAGGCCCACTGGCTTAGCCTAGGCAAACAGTATCGCATCCTCTGTGCTAGGAAGCACTAGGGACCTGGGACAAGGGAGGGCAAGAGGTTCACCTCCATGCTGTGCCCCTGCCAGCCCAAGGCGGGGACGGCCATCATCACGCTCCACCTCAAGATGTCATGGGATACATTCGCCCACCCCTGACTCTCCCCCCACCCTGGCACTGGGCCCCCACCAGGTGGAGGGCAGCCACAGGTGGAAGACAGGGAGGGGGAGGCCAGGTGGGGCCTGGGGAACCAGCAGCAGGGGAGCGGGCGGCAGAGAGCCCAGTCCTTGAAGGCCGTGAGAGGCAGGTCCATACATGAGACCAGGCTCTGAGCCCCCCCACACGCTCCATTGCCTCATCAGACTTCCCTTACAAAACAAAGTCAAAGATAAAGTTACTAAGAAGTTCAAGACAGTGACAACAGTATTAAACCCTGTTATGGATTGAATCGTGTCCCCCTCAGTTGAATTGTTTCCCACAAAAAAAATAAGTGTTAGAGTCCTAATCCCTGCACCTGTGGAGGTGATCCTGTTTGGAAACAGGGTTTTCTTTGTTAGGTTCATGAGGCCATGTCATTGTAGGGTGGATCCTAAGCCTAATCGCTTCTGAGTTATAAGGAGTAACACAGACACAGAGACAAGCAAGTACAAATGGGGGAAGACAGATGCCACGTGAAGATCCCAAGGACCAGAGGAATTCTGGGAGAGAGCTGACAGACAGCCTTCTTGTAGAGCTGGCGCTCTGAATTCTGGCTTCTAGCCTTCTAAACTGTGAGAAAATAAATTCCTGTTCTTTAAAGACACCCGTTTGTGGTATTTGTGTCACCCAGCACTAGGAAACTAATATGTCACTCTTTACCATCTCTCCTTACCTTGCTGTGTTTTCTTCATATAAATCAGCACATGTAGTAAAACCAGTTGACCAGCCGCTGCTGAGTCGCCGCTGCTCATGGCGGCCCCATGAGTGTTGGAGTAGAACTGTGCTCCACAGGGTTTTCAATGGCTGATGTTTTGGAAGTAGATGGCCAGGCTTTTCTTCTGAGGTGCCTCTGGGTGGACTCAAACTGCCATCCTTTCTTTGCACCACCCAGCGACTCCTACATACAGTATGATTGTTGTTGTATGGGTGTCCCCAAGTTATTGCCACTCATGGCGATGCCAGGTGACAGAGTTAAACTGCCCCATAAGGTTTTCTTGGCTGTAATTTTCACAGAAGCAGATTTTCAGGTCTTTCTCCTGTGGAGCCACTGGGTGGGTTCGAACTGCCAGCCTTTCAGTTAGCAGCCAAGCGCATACCTGTTGTGCCACCAGGGCTCCTCACAAGCAGTGTACTGCATATTAGTAGTTTGTTCATTTTCCATTTTTCGTCCCTTTCTCTCTAGACCGCTAGCTCCTTGAAGGAGAAGGGATGCCTTCTCCATCTGCTCCACATTCTGCTGCTTCTAGTCAGCGCTGGGACATTTCTCCGGGCTCACCCAAACCATTGCCCTGTCCCTCCTTAAACGGATATGATGGTGGGCAAGCAGACATAGACCTCAGCTCTTCCGAAACTATCGCGTCTGGAGTTAGCTGGGGTGTCACAGAATGACTCAGCCTGCCTTCTCACCCCAGACTTACCCTCTGACCACTGAGTGACCACGAGCAAGCCACTGGGCCTCAGTTCCCTCATCTGTAAAATGGGCAAAGTGAGAACCTCCCGCCTTGCCAGTTAGTTGATGAAGATCAAAGGAGACAAGACTTGTGAGTTCAGTTTCAAAGGTGAGATGCCCTTTAGCAAACAAAGCATGCCGGTACCCTCCCACAGCCAGAGGGTGGCGTTAGGGATTGAATTGTGTCTCTCCAAAGGATACGTTGAAGTCATAACTGGGTGCCCGTAAACATGATTTTGTTTGGAAATAGGGTCTTTATAGATGTTATCAGTTACATGTGGTCATACTAGATTGGGCTGGGCCCTCATCCAATATGTTGTTGTTGTTAGGGTCCACTGAGCCAATTTTCAGCCCACAGCGACCCCACGTGACAGAGTAGAACTGCCCCATAGGGTTCTCTTGGCTGTAATGTTAATAGAAGCAGAACGCCGGGTCTTTTTCCCACGTGGCCCCTGAGTGGGTTCAAAGCGCTGGCCTTTCAGTTAGCAGCCCAGCAATTAACAGTTGCACCACCAGGGCTCCTGCATCCAGTATGAGTGGTGTCCTTACAGAAGAGGAGAAGAGGCACAGAGGCACAGAGGGAAGACAGCCATGTGATGACAGAAGCAGAGACTGGAGTTACTCACAAACCATGAAACACCAAGGATCGCCGGCCGTCACCAGAAGCTAGGAGACAGGCAGGAACAGATTCTCCCTCAGAGCCTCAGAATGAATCAACACGGCCGACACCCTGATCTCTGACTCCCAGCCTCCAGAGCTGTGAGAAGATAATTTCTGTTCTTCTAAACCACCCAATCTGCGGTACTTTGTTACAACAGACCTAGGAGCTAGTACAGATGGTCACAACCACACAATCCTACCTACGTCATTTTCTGGGGGACTTAGCACTTGCTGGTCCCTTGGCCTGGGCTCCCTTTATTCTACTCAAATGTCCCCTCCACACATGTGTGGGTAGCTATCACAACCCCATTTCTATCTTATGTCCTCCCTGACTTGGTAACGTTTTGGTGTTTGTTTGTCTTTTTTTCTTTCATTTTATTTTTAGTATCAAATGCTTCCACTCCCCTTCTTAGCTGCCCCAGGAAAGAGACTTTGCCTCCTCACAGCATTGTCCCCAGCACTTAGCACAGCACGCCTGGCACACAGTAGGTGCTCAATATTTGCTAACCGGGCCGGCCAGTTTGCAGACTTGATCATGAACAGTTACACCCATCACAGTAAAAATAAAAGGAGGAAAGAGAGAAGAGAGAGAACAGAGAAACCTCCAGGGCGACGAAGACGCAGACGAATGCCCTTGAGGGGGAGGGGTCCTCACTTCCTGCCCCTACTTTCCGAAACCCTGCTGTCCTGGGACCTCTGGAGTTAGAGTCCAGAAATCCGAGCCACTGAGCGGTTAAGTATACCGGGGCGCAGGGGGTGCACCTGCCCCAACCCCCACCCAAGAAACCGGGGCCGTTTACGGGGCTAGGTGGTCCCTTCCCAGGTCAGGCGGATCCGCTACCAGGATCCCAGGCCTGGAGCAGCCCGAGTGACCGCCTGGAAGAGCCTGGGGTCTCCGCCGCCAGGGGCCGCCCACCGGACGCGCCTTTGACCAGCAGCGAGGGAGTCGGAGAAGGCTTGTCCGCGCAGGAGTCACAGCGCGGTCAAGTTCTCCCACTCAGCCTGCTCCTCTCCTCTCACTGCTCCGTTGGAGACCCGGAGGGCGGTGGGGAAGCTGGGATCCGGCGTGAGGGAGTCAGAGTTCCTGAGGGGTCACCCAGAAAATGCTTGGTGACCTCCGTGGGCAAGTCTTTTACCATCTCTGGGGTAGAGTTGCTCCATCTATGAAAAAGGAATAAAGACAGTAAATGTGTCCCTTTAAGAGCCAAGGTGTGGATGAAGCGAGCTAATGCCTGTAAGGCGTCTGGCACAGCGTCTGGCTCAGAGTAAGCGCTCATTTGGGGAAAAGGAGCGGAGCGTTCCTTCCCGCATCCCGGCCGTCCTGGGCGTTCAGGGAGATCACAGGAGGGGAGAGACTGACGGATGTACTCACTGCAAGAACAGAGGTCTCCAGCGCGGGAGGTGAGGGGGTGAGGGAGTGGCGACAGGAGATGTTTACAAAGCAGGGAAGACCTCTCTTCTCCGAGGAAGCTACACGCACTGAAGGAGCGAAATGGAGACAGTTATTCAGACAACTGAGGAGGCAGTGCCTTCACCCTCTGGATATTTCATTCCTTCCCTCTGGGTGCCCCCGCCCCCCGCACTTACTCAAGCCCGAGACTGAGTGCTTCCTTAAATTCTGAGCCTTGGGCGCCTCCCTTGCCTTCTGGGTGGGAATCTGATCTAGCTGTGTGACCAGGGCAAGTACCTTTACCTCTCTGAACTGCAGCGTACTCGTCGGTGAAATGGGATGATGATAATAATAACAGTCCTATCTGTGTCAAAGGCTATTGTGTGGATTGAATGGGACCCTGCACGTCTCATTTGGGGCAGGGTCTGACACCCATACGTGCACAATACCGGGCAACCCTCTTGCTTCACAAGCTTCGGTTTCCTAGGCTTCCACATGGGCTCCAGGCAGGGCCTAAAGGACTACTGAGCTCTGGGAGCGCACATCAGGCCAACCCGCACAGCTGGTGCACAGCTGGGCCTCGGGAGCCCCGCAGGGTGTCAGAGGGAGGGGCAAGCGAGAAGAGTTGGAAGCTGCGGTTGCCCTGGGGGGGTGTCCATGAGGGACTACGCCCCACAGCTGAGGCACAGCTGGCCTTAGGGCTGGCACAGCCATGTTCCCGGGTACTCCAGGGCCAGGAGCTAGGAGAAGGGGCAGGGGGTTTGGAATCCAGGTGAGCTCTCAAAAAGGAGAAACATAGGTGCCAGCCGCAGCACCCAGAGAGGCCACAAAGCTTCTCGGGAACGCCCCTCAAGCCTTCGGTGGTGTGGAGCAATGAGGAAAAAGCATCTCCCCGCAACCCTAGTCCAGGCCACACCTAGTCCAGGCCATTATCACTTCTCCTGTAACTGGGGTCGGTTCCTACCACCCCTCCCCACCATTCTCACAGCAGCCCAGCGGGAGCTTCACAAAACGCAAAGTGGCCCCCACAGGCCCTGCTCCAAACTCTCTAGAAGCCAGTTTCAGCAGGGCCTGGGTGGGAGATTCTTCCCTTCTTCACTCTTCAGTCTCAGCTCCCAAGTTGTCTCTGCAGCGAGATGGCCTCGACCACCCTGCGGAAAATAAGCTCTAATTGTGCTTCCTATGAGCACTTTACTACTCCCTCTCCCCTGCCCCCAGCATTCACCTCGCCCTGAAACTCGCGTTTATTTGCTGGTGTGTTTCTTTTGCTTCCCCACCCAGGAGGGGAGGGAAGAGTCGGTCTTGTTCAAGGTCACCGAATGAATTAATGAAGGAAAGAACACTGGACTCACATCTGGGATCCAGGCTCTGCCCAGACTTTCTGCCTGACCTCGGCCCGGTCGCGTGACCCCTTCAGCCTCTTTTCTCATCTGTAACAGAGGACGTTGGCACCGTTGGTGATCATGGCGCATCTTCAAGGCACGCGGAGTCGAGATTGGCTTTTCTGAGCTGGACATGGGTTTAGGGGTCACTCCAGGGTTGGATTACCCGATAAACAAGGTACGCACGGGCTTACTTGTGCGTACTTACTAATCTGTAGTGAACAAGTTCACACGGGTTTGGTGACTCGAGTAAACCGGTGCGTACCTTGCTTACTGGTTAATCCGCCCCTGGATCGCTCGGAGTACCTGGAGGGAGGCGACATGGTCAGTCCTTGGCTGGGGGGAGGAGGGGTTGTGCCAAGTGCAGGAACAGCAGAGGAGCCGGCTCCGGCCTGGGAGTCACAGCTTCCGGTCGTTGCTTCAGTGTTTGAGCGCATTTTTGCATTGACGGGAGAGGCAGAGGGCGTAGGAGCGTGGGGAATACCGATGCGGTTCTAGGTACCTGAGTGAACCCTGGCAAGTCGCTAACCCTCTCTAAACCTCGGTTTCCCCACCTGTCAAATAGGAATCCTTGGGTGCTGCAAGGGGTTAAGCTGAGAGGTTGGGGCTTGGAACCCACCCAGAGGCACCTCGGAAGAAAGGCTTGGTGGGCTGATTCGGTAAGGACACAGCCTTGAAAACCTATGGAGCAGTTCTACTCTGCACATGTAAGGGTAGCCATGAATCCGAATCCACTCGAAGATCGCCGGCCAGGTCTTTTCTAGCGCAGAGTGGCTGGTGGGTTCCAACCACCAACCTTTCAGTTAGTGGGTTAGCTGAGCACTTAACCGTCGAGCCACAAGGCTCCTTACAACAATAATAGGGGTTAATCATAGCGACTGCATCATAGGGTGGCTTGGAGGGTGGGGAAAAAAAACCCCGTTGCCGTCGAGTCAATTCCGACTCATCGCGATCCCTACAGGACAGAGTAGAACTGCTCCATAGGGTTTCCAAGGAGCGACTGGAGGTTTCAAACCGCCGACCTTTTCGTTAGCAGCCAAACTCTTAACCACTAAGCCACCAGGGTTAGAACAGGTACCGCTTAATTGTGGGCCCACAGTGGCGCTCAGGCAATAGTCGTCCTTCCCATTACGGTCCAAGAGGCACAGTGACTTGCTGGAAAAAGACAAGAACAGCCCTCTGCCTCCTCCCGGCTCCTCCCTCCAGCCGCAGGACTGAAGGCAGTTAGACGCCCCTGGGAATCTGAGCGTGCAGACGCCTGAAGCACGGAGGCTTCGGGCAAGGAGCGTCCTTGTCGCTCCCAGCCCCTGTGCGCCGAGCTCTCGGCTTCGCCCGGTGCGCTCCGAGTCGAGTCCCTCCGCCCTTCTCCAGAGCATCCTGGGCTTGATTCCATTCCGCCACCAGGACACTGAGGGTCAGAGAGGCAAGCGACAGCACCCAGCAAAGGCTAGCCGGGTTGGCAGCTCTGCTCCGGCCCTCCCTAGCTGACGGATCTTGCCCCAGTAGCTGAATGCTCTGGGCCTCCGTTTGTTCGTCTGTGAAGTGGGCATGACAGTGGTGCAGGTCCGCTTGGCAGAGTAGTTCTGCGGATTCAGTGGCATTATCTTACAGAGAGATCAGAATGGATCTGGCACACAGTGAGCACTCAGTATGTGTCAACTGCTGCCATATGAGTGGGGACAGACCTTCCTCGGGGAAAGCGTGGATGTAACAGACCAGAGAGTCCTCTCCCTTGCACTCTCTGGACTCTTGCCTGGGGCATTATTGTGCCCATTTAACAGAGGAGGAGCCTGAGTCTCCGAGAACCAAGAGGTGGGGGTACCGGCCCAGGGTCACTCAGCCTGCCCCAAACGTTGGTTTCCTGTCGGTCTGGCCACGTTTCTCCGGTGCAGGAGACCCCGCTGCCACTGGGGGCGGAGGGGAGTCCTTGGAGAGAGAATGGGGTATCTTTTTTTAAAGCAGCATCCTCGAGGAGGCAGCGACCCGAAGCGCCAAGTCCAGCGCACCCAGGGCAGCAGGTCCCAGCGGCCACAAGAGGGCAGAACCCGGGGAACCCTGAAAGCGCCGGTGGAGCGAGGAGGAGGGAAGTAGCCAGGTGTAGGGGCCCTCTGGGGTTGCGCCGACACCCCCCAACCCCACGCTCTCCATAAATACTGCAGCGGTCCTCCTCCGCCCAACGCGCACACACAGACCCGCAGTTCGGCGCAGGAGACCGACAGCCCGGCTGGCTGGGTGCTGGGAGGCTGGGGGTAGGAAGCACGCGGCCTCTGCTGTCTCACAGCCTCAGGCTCCGATGCGGCCTTGGCTCGCGGCTGCTGGTAGCCTCAGTCTCTCACCAGTAAAATGGGCAGCAAAGGCCGCCACGCAGGGCTGCTGCCCTGATCCGCCTGGAGTCGCGGGTGGAGGCCGTTCCTTCTGCCTGCTCCTGTCAAGTCCCAAATTGAGGACAAGCCTTTGAATTCGCTCTTAACTACCCCCAAAGGCAGCTCTTTGCGGCACTGCCGCGTGCGGTCACTGGCACAGATTACAACTCCTCGGCGGAGAAGCGCGGTGATTTGCAGGAGTTCCGGGTTCAGAGAAGGGGAAACCTGCATTCCAGCCCCCACGCCTGAGTCGTAGGGCCCCTCCCGTTTCGGAGGTCGGTGTAGGTACAGGCATCCCCCTTCCCATGCGTTTCCTTTCATGTACGCATAACCAACGTTTATTGCTTGCAGCGCCAAGCACCTCACAGACCATTCCATTTTATTCCCGGAACAACACGAAGGCATTGTTTTGACGATTTCGCGCTTTATATATGGAGAAAGTGAGGCTCAGAGACGTTAAGTCATTTGCCCAAAGTCACACAGACAGAAGTACCCAAACCAGGATTCTTATGCAGTTGGTGGACTCCAGGCAGGGGACCCCACGCCCGGCTCACCCTCCTCTGCGCCGACTTCTCAAAGCATCGCCTTCTCCGTCGTGGCTGGATCGGGTTGGCCGGAGGGAAGGTCGCAATCTTGGGCCCGGGTTCGGGAAGAGCAGGGTGTCGTGTCTAATTCCCTGGAAGCATTCCGAGACCTTCAGGCGGGACCGGGCCAGAGGTCCTAGACCAGGAAGCCCAGGAGCGGAGAGGAGGGCAGGGGTCTCCGCGGGGTTCCCGCGATCCCTTCGGCAGTTCTT